TTCTGCACTTCTGCACTTCTGAGGAAGGAACAGTCGCCAGAGAATTAGGGCAATCGCGACCAACTCGTACCAGTAGACCGTTACGCATGCAGACGGTGATACCGGCGGAGATGGGAGCTTCTTCACGGCTGCTTTGCTGATCATCACTTGTCATCTCACCGTACGCCCGTATTGGAGATACTCCCATACGAATGACAATGGCCAATAAGCCAATGGCTGGCTACTCCCGACTGTGGAGCTTCCTCGTTTGCTAGTCTGTCACTCTTTTTGTCCTTGTCTCTTTTTTTTTCTCATCTCTGTTGCCTGTTCTTCAAGGCTCCTCCAAATGACACCCCCGTCCCCGTCACTCGCGCCGCCCTTGTCTTTGTCCCCCGGGGTCCCTCCCTCCCCCAAGTCACCGCCCCCCCTGGGTACTTTAGGGGGAACACTAAGGGCTTCAGAACTTCTTGGGGGTGAGACTGTCGTGGCCGCTGGAGCACCTACACACTCCAAAAAAGGTGGAAAACTTCTGGGTATGGTTAGGCACTTGGATGGCTCAGGTGGCTCTGGTGACACTGGCAATTAGGGAAAGGCCAACCAATGACCGGTGGTTTTTCGTTTATTTCAGAGTTTGGGCCGTTAGTGCGAGGAGGAGGACATGTCTTTGTCCAAGGGGAAGAAAACAACCTTAGAACAAAGACATAACCAGAGGTACATGCACTGGTGTGTCTACGAGTAACTCGCAGGTACCAGGGATCAACTCGGTATTGCCATATCTCTCAGTTCTTCTTCCTAACAGATATGCGTGCCGTGCCAATCTGGACTGGTGATTGGGGACTGGATAATGGTCACTTGTACTCGTACGCCCCGAGGTCTTTTGGAGCTTGCGGCTCGTTTACTTTCAAACACCCCTTTGGTGTTCTTTGTTTGGTGGTTTTTGTCACACGCCAACATGGCTAAGGTTGCATGCTGCTAGCACTGCTCCCCATACTCGTACATTGTTCTAACTTCGGGTTCCTGAGCCCCCCTCCCCCCCTCCCCTAAGCACAGAAAGAGTAGATCGACGAGCTGAGCAAGTACTGTACAAACGCAAAATGCACGAGTGATTTTTGCTTTGGTCTGATTTGGTTGAACCGCCCGGATTTTGGGGTTTGGTGCGTCACTCGGACTTAATATCGTGCCGTGTCTAAAATACATTTCGAAGCTCGGAGACATTAGTTGGTCCAGCTTCCGTTGGCTCCTTTGTTTCCGCCGTGATCGCCCTTCCCGGTCAGCGCGACCTCGCCCAGATTCTCTCTTTGAGTTTAAGGGGGGCAAAAACCCGCGACAAAGACGTTTCTGACTCACTGGCGCAAGCGTTGGTGGCACCGAAAACCCAACAGTTTGTCAGCGGAGAGTCGGGCGGATTGATGGACGATTGAGAATCTCTGGGGAGGGGGGAGGATTGCAAATAATCGACACCCGCCCGCTAACTTCAATCCGATTGGCGATCAATACCACTCATGGAGGGCTTTTGGTTCTTAGCGACAGGCTGCGGCGGCTCTGAACGTGGGTGATCAGCAAATTCTGATATGTCATCCGTGGCTCGGTGCATAGAGCTGAGGCGGAGTAGTATTCCATGGTAGCAAGCCGAGTCTTGTGTCGCCTTGACTGACCAGATTGTACGAGGTAGGGATATTCCCCTGGCAGAGTCCAGCATATCGCAACTATGATCCGGGGTAAGACTGCGTGAATCTCGCCTTGAATTCAGGCCAGCCGCAGTGGCCGTATACAAGCCATACAAGGTATATCTTCCTTGATCCAGGTATGCCACGTTGTTCTTGGTCTGTAAATCGCAGTTGTAAACGAGCCTTCAGCTTTTGGCGATCCCCCATGTGGCTGAGAGGCTCTTGCTGCGACGAACAGGCTCATACTGAAACTCGCAGTAATAACCAGAAAGGGTATCTCGCTCGTCCCGGGTAAGAATATGTAGACCGTCTCTTTGCGTCCTGTCCAAGGATGTAGATCTCCAAAGTCTTGCTCGGGTCCGAGGTGTCTCGTGTCCTTTGTCCGATCACTCTCGCACACTCGTTTGGTGTCTCAGGTCTTGACGGTTCCAGCATAGCCCTAAGCATTCTTGTCCTCTTTGTGACAATCGGTGACTGCCGATCCCTCGACACATGGCCCGTTTGAGAGTGGTGTCGTATAGTAGATTGGCGCTAAGGTGAGGAGATTGCGTGGATGATCGCTCCCGATCACCAACTCGTATTCCATGTATCGTATCCATACTTCTTGCAGTGAGTGTGAACGAGCTGCAGAATTTCAACCACGATACTCAACGTTCTTAGTCTTCGGACCCATTTTATGATTATTCGTCGCCATGGGACATCTTTTGGTGTGTTTGATTGATCCTGACGTAAGCTAGACCTTCGCTATTTCTCCCCCCTATAAACGAAAATCTAACCAGGGAATATGATTGGCCCCTTTTCACCGATAGACTGTCCTTTTGCACCTCCATATACCTCGTCCAAGCATCGAACACGACTGTGCTTACCCACATCCACTCAGACAATGGTGGTGTTCAAGGCGACTACTGAAACCGACTAAGGTAGCCGGTCAGACCCCCCGTGCTACAGCATGAGTCCAAGGCAGATGTCTGAGATAACAGAAAGTTCAGACCGACTTCGAAGCCCCAAAACCATCATGGAAATTTGACGTCACCACACGGCCAAAATGGCTTAGAGATGATTGAATCCAGGACGGAATGTGCCCAACAATAGATAGAGATGGGTGAAGGCCGTTCGCACAGAGGGTATAGTTTGGGAACGACCATTTTGTCCCGCACCTTGGACGGATAGGGGAGCCAAGTTGCGAAAACTTGTTCCCAGTCTGGCAACGTGCTTCGAGTGATCAGACAAAGTTCCCACGTGGAGATGCAGGTGTTCGACGGGGGAGGACGGCACAGTGGTAGGCCTTTCTTACCACCCCCCAAATCCTGGGTATTCTTCAATCCCGGAAACCTGGCTCACCCACCATCAGGGGCAAGGCATCCCAATCCGTGGAGCGATGGACCAACCGATGCTCGTAGATGGGGATTGTAGTCTGACATTCTCTCCATGCCATGCTTATGCAAGGAGGAACGGAGTCAACGACATCAGCGCATGTAATTTTAAAGCGCAAGCCATGACAGATAAGCAGGATTCATGGCGCATCGTGGGTTTGACTTTCCTAAGACTGAGAGGAAGTTCCAGAAAATAACATTCGGTAGATCAGGAACGAAGACAAAGGAGAGGGTTGATAGCTCTAATTGTCTCACGCCGCCCTTTTAGTATAATTTTGGACTAGCCATTTATGGAATGGCCCATCTCACTATCTTGGCATTATAGGTACTCTTCGTATGGCTCACATCACATGACTGGCGTGCTTGGACTCGGTAGGGCTGATTTGTTGCTGTTTGCACTTCGCCCATCACCTTTCCCAGTCATGCAATCTGTTGGTATTTCGCCATCACTAGGAGTGTCTTTTTGCCGCTGATAAATCTGATCGTTCTTTCGATGTAACATTTTCATTACTTTGGAAAAAGTTGCTGCGCACCTGGAGTGCCCCCAGGCATGTTGCCACCAGGCTCGTCAGGGGCGGTGGACCCCGAGGACCGCAAAATCATCGAGAAGCTCGCGAAATTGCAGAACATGTACTCTCAAGTCAGTCGATTTGCCTTTTGTTTGACCAATCACGCCCTTGCTTCAGGACCAATGCTGACCTCCTTGAAGATTGGCGACCTTCGGACTTTACTGCCCGAGAAGTTGATCAACCCGGCAAGGGTGGCTCTGGACCACCCTGGTGATTATGAACCTGCAAAGCTCGCTGCCTATTTGCAGACGGCAGCACAGGCAGGGAGTCGCGACGTTGAGAGATTCAAGAAGGACTGGCACAGTGACGACGTGCGCGAACTCTGGCAAACCGTCCACGCCAATGACTTGCCCCAGGGTGGAGATGCATGGGCATTCGACTATGCCAGTCTTCTGCGGGATGCTGCTGCAAATGAGCAGACATCCAACACTGAAAAGGACGCTAGCCATGCCTTCCGGCCCCCATCTGATGCCGAAACGGCGAAGATGGTAAACGACTTTCGTGCAAGGCATCCAGACGTGAAGATACACGTGTCCAGTGAAGCATCACCCTTGCCAATCGACATCAGCGTTTCTCGGTTTGACTTTCGAGTCGAAAAGAGCGAGGCTGCAGACGGGACAACGTACAACGTCATTGACAAGTCTGGCACAGAAGCGTCTGGTGTATACGACCTGCGTGCTGACGTCGTTGAGAGCATTCGAGAGTCGAAAGAGATAGGCCGGCTTGAAACCCTCCTTGTATGCATACCAATCGCGTCATGGCTCCAACTCGTCCTGCTAACATCCCGATTCAGGAGATGATTTATTCGTACCGCGATGTGATGACGAGACCGTGCGACAAGTGCAAGAAGCTTCTCGACACCAAGAAACTGAAACTTCCGGTGATTCGACAAGCCAATCCCTCAACGCAGGACGGCCAGCCGCCATTACTGGCACTTCATCGAGTTTGCAGGTGATTGTTCCCAGTCGCATATACACCAGTGCACTCCGCAAGCACCCGGCGCCGGCGTCCAGTTACCATGAAGCACCTGAGTGGTGCTTTGAGACGAACCCCTTGACGCGCAGAGACTACACTCTCTGGTTGGCGACATCCTCTCCCTCCGCCACCGAGGTGTGTGCGCTGCCATCGACCACGGCACCCAGCTACATGGATGATTTTTGTACATGGCCTCAGTTCTCCGCTGAGATGTCATGTTATTTGAAGAGAAGTATGATGATTTATAGTTGTGATATGAGTGCCATGTACCAGCGATGGCAGAGTCCACTAGGCATGTTGCTGCGAAAGAAATTCAGGATTGAACTTGCAGGCCGTTGTCCCAGAAGTTCATCATGTACTTGGGCTACATTTGTATGTAGATTCCCTCTTAGGCGACACCCTAAGTGAGTGACATCTGTCTGTGAATGACCTTGACCATGCCGTACAACGCAAAGTCACCCCAATATTCTCCGTATGTCCCCTGCCTCTTCGACTACGCCAACGGTGTGCTCAAAACCATCTACTTGCCAACAAGGAGGCGGCCAACCCTGGCATCTTCAGTTGCTTCGAATGTCTTTCACTGTACCAACACATCAGTAATTCAACGTCACCACCGTTACTACAACGTCGAGCTCTTGGGTGACCAATGTCTGGACATGAGCTTGCGGGACATGGAGCGCATCGGTCAGCAAGGATTCAACCCTCAGGGTTAGCAAAGGAGGCAATGAGTGTCGGTCATGCGAGGAGGACTACAGATGAGCGAATGCGATTGGCGAACAGCTTATCAGACAACCTGAGCCTTCTCAGAATCGCCAGTCATCCAGACAGGATCCCAGCTGCAGCCGAGTCGACCCTGGACGCGCACGCCAGACAAACACCGCTGCAGAGAAAACGAACGGCAGACGGGGCGATCAAGCACCAGCACAGCTCACGGATTTCTGATCAGAGAGATGAGCTTCGGCTACACAGCGACTACAAACGAACCTCGGACGTGAAGATGAAAATGGACCTGGACATCTTGAGGCGTCGTATCGCGTTGATTGAAGCACAAGAGCAGGGGAGCACCCAGCATAGGTCGGTGTCGAAACGAGCAAGAGGGCAGCAGCAGCAACTGGCAGGACGGGGACAACGGCAACAGCAGATTGGAGATAGACAAGATGCTGAGACGAAAAACGATCTGACAGACTGGAAGGAAGCGATCATCCGGTGAAGTCGCTTGATCAAGGCCGGCAAGACGAGTACGACGTACTATGTGCCATCTTTGCCCGGGGAAAAGAATAGCCACAATCTGATGAACCAGTCCCTACGTCTCCCAAACTAAAGTACTTGTACTTTTACACCGTGATCAACCCAGGCTTTTAATAGTTCCCAACTTTTATTCAAGGCCACCATGTGTTCGCAATCACCCTTCGGTGCGTGGACACCGCTTTACTGCGGTACCAGTACAAGGAGACGACAGGTACAGGCATGCTCTGTCAGAGGCCGCCAGGAGGGGTTTGACGACAAGCCCGATATCCATCTTGGACTGGGACAGAGGTCTCGTGGTAGACGAGTAGAGAGATGACTGAGATACTCGGTAACGTGATATCAGACATGAGGCTGGCGAACCAGTGGCGAGGCAGATGTGTTTGTGCGTGCGGGTGAACCAAAATAAGAACAACCCAATGCCCGAGACAGTCAAAATGGGCCGGGCAGAGAAGTGGCTTAGTTGGTTGGTGGTTGGTTGCGAGGCAAGGAGGGTGTGGCTCTGCCCTACCAATAATACCGTTTGGCGTTTGACGGGCTCGTTGTGTCGCTGGGTCGCGTACTGGCCGCTAGTCCTTGTTGGGTCTCTTGTTTTGCGGGTTTCCGGATTCCGTCGCCCAGGGTGAGACAAGCCTCTCTTGTGTCTTTTTTCGTCGTCCTGCGCTCCTTTCTGGACTCCGAAAGTCAAGTCACCTCGTCGTCTGTTCCTTACCAGACTCTCGCTATTGTCAATCAGTCCTTCGCTTTTCAGTCATTGCTTTTTGCGTTGTCTATGCTATACCACGATCCGGTCGTAACGAAGTGTTTCCTACGAGAACCTACTGCCTCTCATCATTGAATAAAGTGCCACGGACGACCACAGACGAAACCGCCTCTTTCAACGTCCGAAATGAAGGGCTCCGGCCTCTTCTCTCTCCTCTCCTCCCTCCTCCTCTTCTTTGTAGCTTGTTCTTCGGCCTGGCCCTGGCCGGAGTTTCTTGACAGCAAGGTCGACGCTCTTATTGTCCCCCGACAAGACCAGAACCAGAATTCGGATGGCGACGATACTTCCTCAACTGGGAGCACATCTGTTACCAGGTCCGCATCCTCATCAGGCTCCCAATCTGGCTCAACGATAACTCCGTCGGCGTCTTTATCGGGGTCAGGGTCAGGGACGTCGGGACTTCGGAACGCGACCACAACAAGGAGCACAAAAACAACTCCCATTGACCCTCGTCTGCCTCCTGGAGGTATCTCTCTCATCACACCCGCTGCAATTGATGGCCCTCAGTACTACAAGGTTGGGGATTTTGTCACTTTTGCTTGGAACTATACTTCTCTGTCCGTCACCCCGTCCGCAATCGATGTGCTGGCTTCCTGCGCCTTGAACCAAGCCACCTACACACTCTCTTCCAATATGTCGGTGAAGGAGACGGGTGCTCTTACCTGGGATACTGGTGAAATGTTCGCAACAGCGACCAACCCTTTCCCAGTCGCCAGTTATACCCTGATCATCCACGATTCGTCGAAAGATGTGACCGACATTCCAAGCGCTGGGTTTTTGGGTGCTTTTGAGCAGTACGTGTTTGGGATGTACACAGGGTGAGTCTGCTCTCATATTTCTGCAAGATTTGAAGGCTAACAAGGTTCAGACAACCCTATACTCCGCTGAACGAATTCAAATGTGCGACCTGCAATGGCGCATTTTCCATACATGAAAAGCAAGCCCTGGGCGTGATTCTGACAACATCAGCCATCACCGTCTTGTCCTTCACATGGTTCGCCAGGGGGTTTGGCGTGTTTTGAAACCGGGAGCTCTCCCTACGACCAGCTCGACGGATATATTTGCCATATATATCTACAGTATCTAACGACCACTAATTGGATGACAACATCCTTTCTGACGAACTAAAAACATTCAAGTACAGCGGCAGTTTTGAGCGGAACCTTGGTCAGTTCGCAAAGGATGGTGCATTATACCGGAAGGAAGGCAATCAAGGATTCATCGGCAACCTACATGACGGGGAAACGGAAAACGGCATCCGGGGTGTCCAGGGATTTGGAAATACAGGAGTGAACATTTTGAGGCTAATGAAAGAGAACTTCCCAAAGCGGAAAAATATTGACCTCTTGCTTCGATTCTCAAGTTGTCGGGCAGGGAAATGTTTACTCTGATCAATTGACCGCTGCAGATATGACCCTGATCCCTCGGCCTTTGCACTCAATGACCTGGAACAAGGTGAAGGGAGCTGGACAGCCAGCAGATGCCATGGCGGAAGACCTCCCGACCGGAACCGCTCGACATTCTATCGCTTGATACTCTCTTGATATTACTCTCTCCATATTGTGATTGGTGACATTTTCCATGTGCCGGCTCCTCCTATTTGTCAAGTGGAAAGGCCTTCCGGACGAATACGATACGGTCATGACGGTCTGGACGTCCGGCACGATTTGGCTTCTCGATCCGCCGCGGCAAGGAGCCTCAGAAAGTGACGGTAAGGAATATGAACCACGAGCCAGATGGCCAGGGGGAGGAATTCCATGCGAATTTGAGTTGTCGAGAACGAGATGAGTGGTTGTCCACGTACATCCAGATTTCATTCTGTCTGCCTACCTGCCTGCTGATATCTCTGGTTTTGTCAAGAAATGTTGCGTCTCCCTTGTTTGTGCCTTGGTTGATCCGTTCGGCATGAGATGGCAGCAGCCCTGGCTGGGCTGGGCCGGGCCTGATGCTTGTCTACATACATCGTGTCATGTACTAATTTGATGCCATGAAGCCGTCCTTCCCCGCCACGGACACAGTCACAGTCACAGATACATATGATGGAGAGGGACGACGCAAACAACCAACTCAGACACAGACACGGTCACTGACACACAAATCCCTCTTCCCATTGAGTTTTGAGATACTTCCACCTTAAAAAAAGTACAAAAGCCTTTCCCCCTTTGGTTGTGCTCCCTCCCTCTTTGCTTCAACCCATCACACATCACACATTACATTCTTTTTTGCTTCTCTCTCCCTCTCCCTCTCCCTCTCTGACTCCCTCTCCTGTTCTTCATTCACAATTGTACGCCCGGACTGTGAACCCAAAGGAACAACCAACCAACCAAGAGACCCCCTTCCCCCTTTTTCAATTGTTTGTGATTCCTACCAACACGCTCCCAGAGTCATTCCTTGGCCATCACTACCATCAGAGTAGCAAGCCGCTAGGGTGGATTGCTGCATCGCCATCGGACTTCGACTACGACTTCAGCCTGCTAGCCTGCCTGCTTGCTTGCTAGCCAGCTAGCTAGCTACCTAAGGGCTGGTTGAGGGAATACTTAACCACGTTTCCAACTCCAACATCTCACACCGACCCAATCACTCAGGCCAGCACAGTCTAGTTAGTTCCCTGGATCACAACCCAAAGATACGTTTCTTCTATCACTCGAACTCGACCAAAAAGTCAAAAAGTCAACTTTTTCGCTCCACCATACTCTCTACACCATTCTCTCTGTCTCTCTGGGAGAGAAGGACCACGACTCCTCGTCCAAAAAATCCCACACCGACCAAGTCTTTGTTTACACACACACACTCACACTCACACATCGCCGGATTTACTTACAAAAGCGAAAGCCGTCAAATTTCAACCATGCCTCTTCCGACCGCGTCAGGTTCTTCTTCTTCATCGTCCAAATCCCATCGGGACTCGAGATCCACAACAACAACTGGGCACAAAACGTCGACCCTCAGTTCCTCCTCGTTCCCCCCTCGCACACCGACAATCCAAGCACTCCAAGCACAACCACCAAAAAGACCGGCAAAATGGACACCCAGACACGACGCCTTTATCCGCGAACAGGCCCGCAACGGCGAAGACGCAGAGAGTATCCGCATCCTCTTCGAGGTCGAGTATCCCGGCGTCAGTGTGAGTAAGGCGTGGGTCGTCGAGAGGATCAAGGTCACCGCGGCGTCGGCGTCAGTCAGGACTAGGTAGATGTTGAGGGCCGGTGGATAGAGAAAGGGGGAATGTTTGGGCGTGCCCTTATTTCTCCCCTGAGAAGATAGACGGGGAAGGGGAAGGGGATGGGACAGAGGCTGGGGAATGGGAATGGAAGGACGGAAGAAGGGTAACCTGCCCTTGTCTTGTCTTGGTCCATCTTAGCTTGATTGGTTGTCCCGTACTGGCATTCCATGGCATGCTCATGCTCATACTTTGAGATTGGAGCTTCGAGCTTCGAGCTGCGAGCTGCGAGCTGCCAGCCTTCAACATGCAAGCAAGAAGGAATAGTGGAGAGGCCAAAGTGAGCAGGAAGAGAGAGGGAGGGGGGGGGAGAGACAATGTGTGTGTGTATGTATGACGGAAGCAAAAAGGAGCAGAAGCAGAACAGAACAGGGAAAAGTAGTCAATCGATCAATCAGTCAGTCAGACCGCCGGCGCCACGGGGGAAGCAGCAACGACGCAGGACAGATCAGACAGACAGACAGACAGACAGACAGACAGGCTGGTTGGGTTGGGTAGAGTTGGACATGGCAGCGCGCATGGACAAGGCTACCTATACGAGGAACTTCTATCTATTCTTACCAACTCCTGCTACCACTAGCGGGACAGGACAAGACAGGACGCATTAACACCCCTTCTCTATCCACCCATTTCTGTACGATCCGTCCATCTATCTTATCCATAGCCATGATAGCAGCCACTCGTCCTTGGCGGGCGCTCTCGTAGAGATGACAACCACAAGAGACGTCTGGAACAACCAAGAGATCAAGTACCAAAGAATAGGAACCAGCAACCATCAAGCTCAAGCTCAAGCTTCGTCATCGATTAACGCGCAACACAGACGTTGTTCGTAGGTTATATATAGGATACCTTGGTATATAGAAATGTCTGTGTGTGAATAGAGCCGGGAAGTGAAGGAGCCACAATCGTAGCAGTTGTAGCACAACATTCCACCTGAAAACAAGCATGCCCTGTCTCAAACGACTCCATCCAAAGCAATTCCCGATTCCCTGTTCCCATTTCCGCGAGGGAGATGATCTTTTTCCAACTCCAACGCTGTAACGATAGGTGTGTAGGACTTCATATATCTGGTGATGTGCAGTGTTTCAACGTGTTGAGCCATCTCGTTCTCCATATCGGCCTTGTGTATATGGCATTTCTTTCCAAGCTCACGAGATCCAAACCTCCATCTTGCCCATTTCACTCCTCTCTTTCTTTGCTTGGTTGCGCACACTCGTCAACAACATCTCCAGATCATCCTGATCACCCATGGTGATCATGTCGCCATCATCTTGCATCTTGATCTTCAACTGATCCTTGATCCCAAACTTTTCACGTATTTTGCTTTCGAGGTCGCCAAAATCTATCACGGCGCCAATCATTAGATATCTCGTATCGTCGTTAAAGTGGCATTTGACACGAATCTTGCGCATTTCGGGCCGTTTGCTGCCGCGTCCGGATCGAGACACCGCGCGCCGGACGGGTTCGAAACCGCTCATGTCTTCAGCACTCATTTCTTCTTCGTCTATATATTCGTCTTCTTCGTTGAGGTATAAGTCCTGCTCCTGCCGTCGCTGGCGCCTCCGGGGGCTGGAATACATGCGATAGACATCATCCACCGCGTCGGTGGGTTCTTCGTAGCGGGATGATGCTGTAGTCTCTCGGAACAGTGGTGCTGGGGCCCTTTGCGAGGCTGAGCGGTCGAGCATCTGCCGCCGGACAGAGGGACCTCGAGGTTCGGAAGCAGTCCTTTGGGTGCCATAGCGCGACCTTTCCATCTGTGGTCGCTCCATTAGTGGTCGCTCCATCATGGAAGGCTCTTCTGGCCAAGAGTTCTCGCGTGGGGGTGGCATCATCCTGCCCATGCCGGGGCCTTGGTTGGCGTTGCTATCAAATGTCGCTGCACGGCTCAGCATACCGGGTCTGGGTGCCTCCATGTCTGGCCTGGTGTACATATTGCGGGGTTGACGCATAGAGGTCGTCCGAAGAGGCAACGTAGAAGAGCCGCCTCCACTGAGCCTGGGCTTCTCGTTCTCCGGTGGTGGTGTTGGAGGGAAGACATTTCGATTCATGACAGGAGGGGCGCTCTGGTCTCGAACCACTCTGCTGGACAAGTTACGCTGCACGAGGTTTGTTGCCGCGTAACTGATGTTCTCCGGGGGGCGGTCATCTTTGGCAGCAACCTCAGCAGCTACCGCTTGTTTCCTTTCCACTCCCTGGAATCCAGTACCGGTGTTCTCGCTGTTTGATGTAGCTATCAATCGGGCCTTGCCCAGGTAGTCCTTTGCTTTGAGATTCTTGACTTTGGCCTCGTTTGGCCTGTAAACGCATCCGACCGGTCTATCAGACACCAGGGGTTAGTCCATCAATTGCTATTATGACACCTCAAGGAAGGCAGGATTATCCCAGAACACGGTTCATTTGGGGAGTAGCTGAGACTCACATGCTGAACACAACATAACCCTGCAACAAGTCAGTGGACACGCCTTCTCTCACGAGAGATTCAAAGCTCACCTGTGCCATATCCTTGATAGCATCGTCGATCACATCGTGGTCGGGAGTCATCTTCTCCTTTTGGGCGAAGCTGAAGTCTTGAAGCCCGGCCTGCTCTTGCTGAAGATACATATAGCACAGACCACGATTGAAGAGAACTTCGCACGAGTAAAGCTTGAACTTCAACCCTAGCTGCTCATAGTCGATGTAGGTATTGCCTCTCAGATAGAGTAGGGTGTCATTAAAATTTGCCAATGCTTCTTCAAAGTCCCCAACCAGAAAGTTCGAGACACCCTGTTGGAAGTATGCCACTGCGAGATACTGGTCGAGCTTGATTGCGCGTTGATAACACTCCACCTAGTCTCACTATCAGCTTATATTCCTATGCTTGTCTTTTCATACTGCACGCACTGCTCTTTCATGCTCGCCAATGGTGGCGTGGATCACACCGCAGTTGAACAGGATCTTGGAGGTATCGGCAATTGCATCGAAAATTCTCAAGGCTTCCTCAAATTCTTGATTGTCATAGTGCCCAAGCGCTTCGACCCAAGTCTCTATTTCCTGCAAGACGGGTCAGGGAGCGAGTATGCAACTGGGGTGGGATTGACATACCTGCTTGAGCGACATGGCGCCGGGCCGAGGTCGTCGAAGTTAGAATCGATGTCAACAAGGTGGTGACGGCAAGGTGCAGGTTCGAGTAGAGCCAGGGACTGCAATATGTTTACAGAGGAAGCGAGATCTGCGACAAGGAGCGGCGTTGCCTGAGACGTTATTGAAATGGTGGATGTGGGCGGTCACAGAATCTGCTAGGGTGGTGGGAACCGATGGCTACCACAGGCTGGTCACTAACTCGTAGGTGGCGGTCGATTTGGACGGTGCACCGAGGCTGCGAGGGCCGGCCCTGCCGCTAAGGTCCTGAAAATGGGTGCTTGAGGTCCAGGGGTTAAGCGCCCGGGGTGGGTAGGGGGGAGCAGTGGGATTTGCTCGGCGCCAATGCCGTCACTGGCTGGGTGCCAATGAAAGAGGCTGTCAACTTGACAATGTGGTGAATGAATAGATTAGCGACGGGATGCGCCCGATAGATTGCAAATAGTCTGGATGTCTGGCAAGCGAAGAAGATAAATCGGGAAACAAAGAGTGTAGCTGGTTTGTATACCAAAAGCGCCAGCGTGGGAGAAACGAAGATAGCAATGCCAGTTGCTGCTAGGTGGAAAGAGAAGGAGAAGAGTTGAAGGAGTGGAATGGTTTGGGATTCTTTTACGACAGCAAGACTCGGACTTCTTGAATGATGTTTGGGAGAAGGGGAACAGGGAAGGTGGGGGTCCCAAACTTTCAAGCGAGAGCAAGGGTGAGAAGAAGAGTCAAGACATGGGAGCAAGGGCACCAAGGGGGGATAGGCACCGTGATGGGATAGGCACGAATAGGGAAGGGTGGTGGCTGGGAAGGATACCAGGTAGAGAGGGAGAGGGACAGGAGAACTACCTCTCCGGGCACTTGCCAGGCAGTCTCAGGGGTTTCAGCACCCAACACATCCTACCTAGGTACGTGGTGGACTCGATAGGTAACAGGTACTCGGTACAAACAGACATATCATATGCTTGCATATGCTCACCTGCTCAGTCACCTCGAGTTCCCCATTTGCACAATCAAACACCATCAAACACCACCTTGTCATGATTGTTGTCACATTGACAAGTCTTCTTATCAGCTCGAATCACCTACCTGACTACCTATTATGCTTTTAGGAACCGCGTCCCTCTGCTCTCGTCCTTCACATCCTCGCTCCTCACTCGTCCAAAATGTGATGGCACACATCTTCCTCTACCAAGTGGCCTGAGTCCGTCACCTGAGCAAGTCTCTTCTTCTACGGCTTTCCATTGTTTGCTTCCTCTCATCGTCGGTCTTACGCCCACATGGCTCACTCGTCTGGGTTGTTTCAACAGTGTCCAACCTCGCCTGGTGGGCCAGGTTCCGCATCTGCGTGTCCGTTTCAGAATCACATCTGGCGACCAACCACCGTCGACACAGCACTCCAAAAGTTTGTCCCAAACCCTCTCTCCCAAGCAATCGGGTCGTCCGTTTCCAATGCTCGATGCAGGGGTGTGCTCCAGCACTGCATCATAGTGCAGCCAAAGATCGATTTCCAAACCAGAACAAACTCGGTCCGCGAATCAGAATCGGGTGAAAATCCATTTGGGGTTGCTCCCTACGAGATGCATTGCATGTTGATTGTGGAATAATAGGTTTTTTTTTTTCATTTTATTCTTTATTATGCTGCTACGCTTGTGGTCGCCGCAGACCCTGGTATAGCTGACAGATCACAGCATCCCCTTTTCGACCTGCTCTTTGCGCTCCTCCCATACGGTCTTCCCTGAACAGCTGCACACGGTCTTGTCATTGTCCCACACCCCGGCACTGCGAGCAATGACCCCGACCAGGGTATCTGGATCTTCGGTCTGAAACGCACCCTCTGGCTGTTGTTTCGACACGACCATGCTGCG